GGTACTAGGTGGGTGAAACGAGCTTCTTTCGACGGTTGTTCACGCTCCTTCTAGAACCCAGTTTAAAGCTCTATTAGACACTTATTTATGCGAATCCTCACGCTGACAAGCATACTGCCCCGCGCTGAGAACATAAAGAGCAGTGCTACACCCTATTTTCGCTTTTGCCTTTCGTGTTTATGAGAGCCACTGACCGACAAGAATAAAACCGATCCGGGAAACTTGGGCAAAAGCCTCGATCCAGTGCATCAATCCGTGAATCCCTCTCAGCTGCGTTACACGACGGCTCTGAACACATTTTTATCCGAAGGAAAAAGGATCAACATCCGATGAGCAGATTATTTATAATAGGTTTCCACCAGTTCCAGTAACCGCTGAACGGGATACCAGAAAAGATTATCACTTGGCCTTCTGTCACTGGTTCCAAACTACTCCGGACACATGCGTTTGGTGATTTTTCGACACCTGGAATTATAAGTCCACACGCACAGATACAAAGCCTCCAATTTACAGCCAGGTTTCTCGGAAAAAACTTTTTTTAGCGAGGCTGACTTGCAGAGCAGAGCTCATAGCGCGAAACTAGTCTTCTGCACTGACTTAACAGAACCAGAATTTGTTGTGGTGGTTTTAATAACCCACGGACATGTGCACATCGTGACCTAGAACGGCGCTGAGGACAAGTAAACTTGGTGGTCGTGATGCCTGTTCGAAGGGATATTGAAGCGTATGTAGTTTCAAAATTCGCCACGTTTTTGAGTGTTTATCATAATCATTCGACTTCACAACAAGGTCATGACGAAAGGTATAAATATTTTTTGTATTTCAACCCACACTACTTTCGATTACGTACAGATTTAGTGATTTCCTGGGAACTAACTTGAGAAATCTGAAGCTCTTGTGGGAATTCAACATTCGGTGACGTTCAAAATATCAAATGGCCTCGTATGACCGAGCACTTGCAACGTGCGTCGCACTCAACTACTAAATCCCACAGACTGAAGAACATCATGTGAAAAAATTCGTCAATCCCTGGATAAAAATCATCAGCCGTTGTAGAAGCCAGCACACCAAGCGGGATAACATAACCGAAAAATTCCGGAAGGCGCATGCGTCCTCCTACCTGCAGGTATAGAGTAAGGATTCTGTATAAGCCATACAAATCCTGGGGTGTCCGGGAAAAACGGAATCCAAATACTCAAGCCAGCTTTTTCCGATTCTGATAACAGTTGACAGTGTTTTCTTGTGTGACTTTCGCACTGCTGTATGATATGCGGAACTACTCAGAACGAATCGAACCTGGTATGCATGAAGTACATATCGGGCCCCCAGAAGACACTAAATTCGCGAAACGGCGTTATCTCTGCGTATCATAGTAATACACAAAGTAATACAGCATTATTCTAAGACATCGCTCTGATTTCGAAACCGTTTAGACTTACCAACCGAGACATCCTCACACTTACACGCCGCGAATTCTGCCTTATGTCCGAGGAAGAAACTTAAGCAACGTAAAGAGCACCGACGGCCCCGAATTGAAGCGCTAGGACTGCAGTTGTTTCTATCACATTTGGTGAAAACACAGCCGAGACTATCGTCGTTTCCTGAAAGCCGTACATCCCAGCTACATAAGAGAGAATTTTGTTTACATGAGCAGAAAGTTTAGTATGTTTATTGTTAAGTTTCATTATTAAGTTTATTATTAAGCAGACAACCCAGGCTCAGTATATTGCTGACGTGACCAAACTTCATTTCGTAATGGGTGGGCTTTCCGATATAAAACTGTCGGTAGTCGAGATACCAGGGATCAAACACACCGGAACAAAACGGATGTGAAACTCCGATGTATGTAAAAAGTTGGGTTGTTTCTCTTGGTGTTACAAGTGAAAAGGTAAGGAAGAAAGCCAGGAATCTTCATCGTTGGCCTGGCGCTTGGGGAGGATGAAAGGCGTCAAAATGCTGAAGTAATATTGCGCAGAGAACTGGGTGTCTCTGTACCAGGTGCTTTTGATTGATGAAGTGGCTGCGGAAACCAAGTTTGTTAAGTTTGATAAGGAGACCAAAACATTTTGAAAAATGCATCAGTGGTATTGCGTTTTCCGTCACTGCGTTAGCCGAGATATGACCTGTGGGTGGATTTCCTCACTCAGAAATGACAATGATGCTCTGTCGCTGGGGTTGAAAGTGGAAAAAGTGATACAATATGTGAATATACACATACTATAAGTAAGTATAACTTATGATGGTCTGTTATCAAAAGAAGTCGGTGTATCGTGAGCCCATTCCGCAGGAGTCGGCGTAACTGTAACAGTGTCTGAATTGGAAAAAATCTAGGAATCAACTCAACCCAGGTCTCATTGCAGTGCTTCGACCTAGTATTTACTAAATTCGAAGTAATTCCGACTAAGCAAGTATTGTTGACATCTAATGAGTTATTAATTCATTTGGGGCTCGCTGTAGACCCAGAAGTGTGAAGGTTTTGGTGCCCACCGTCAAGCATTCCAGAAAACGACTGCGCACTAAGAGACCACGAAACTTCAAATCCGGCACAAGCAGGTATGCAAAACCAGGCTTTTTTTAGATACAATTACGTTTCCCAAAACGTCTGCTCTTATATCAGTTAAGAACTGCAGAACATGTACGTATCAGCCTCGCTAGTGGAAAAATGAGTTGATGAAATTGAAAATGTCGCAAGATAAGCACCGCCATTTCTCAACTACACTCTCCTCTATAACTGGTATCAGAGTCTCGCGCTGACTATGGACAGCGGGCACAAATGAACGGCGTATGACACCAATTTGTTCTTTAGTAATTACATTAACGATTGGATTCTGAAATACTGAATTTTTCCCGCGGTTTACCAGTAATACATACAAACGCATAAGGGATGGAAGGTTCTGTGTAGAGTGAGGAAGAAAGGGTCAGGTTTTGTTGCGAATATGTCCCATGTTCGTAAGGGAAGCTGTGATGTACGAGGCATTGAAATAAACAAATTTGAGCTTCTTGTTGAACTAAGATTTCATCAATGAGGTCGATTCAACACTGCTTTTTAAACATTCCGGACGTGCACAGAGCACACAACTACAGGCGATTTTTTCCAACCCGGCTAAGGAATGTCGATATTCTCACCAACGACAATGGCTGTGTGCTATGTTCCTCAGGGTTTCCAACAACCTGCAAGCTGGCTACATATGCTATAGCCGAGCGCGATGTTATCGAAACAGCCTTTTTAACAGTGGTACCTTTTATTTTAACTTGTCATATCCTTTCTAGAGGACCTTTGACTAACAGCAGGAAACAACTTTTGTAAGGGGCTGATTGGACACGGGAGATCAAGTCTTTCAGTGCAGAACAGGAAAACATTTGAGCTCTGACATTGTGGTATAAATTATTTAAAAGCCTAAGCGTCAAACAACACGACGCTGTCAACTGCGTAATCTAGATACGCTATTTTTCTCCGGAAGTAGTTTTTGTACGTGAATCCATGGTTTCTCGAAATGTGCAGTGCCTGACAATGGACAGATAACATAGTTTTGGCAAACTTCAATGCCGGTCAGATAACGTTTGGACGGTTCATTGCACATCCTAACTGGTCGGTTGTGTGGGAACAGGGGACAGGAATAATGCTTTTGAATTTCAATAACAACAAGCTTTAGTCAAGGATGCGTGGAGAAATGATGTGTTAAAAGCGTCAAGGGGTAATTTGTATTCAAGGTAGACCCCAGTGGACGACAATATGAGTTGCATGACTCAGGCACTTGGCATAGAATGAAGGAAATTTGATTAAAAATTTCATAAAATAGAATCGTAATCTGAATCAGCACCATACATGTGTGTGGTGTTGGTATTACTTATAAATATAGGGGCACACAGTCTTACACATTCACAACGCAGAAAGGCAAAAACATCTTATTAGCATGTCTCACTTTTCAGTCAACAACACTCACTAATTTTTGAAAAAAAAGATAATCGTGACTATAAAACACGACGAAGTAATGGCGTCATTTTAGGATACGCTCATCATTTACTTCAATCTTGCCTGAAAAAGTTGTATCTCAGCAACTGGATAGTGGCCTACTTTCAGAAAAACCACCACTAGATGGGAGTCGCTGCAAATTGCGTAATCAACACTAGGCAACATCATTTGAATTCAGCAACATATAGAGTGGGTAAGTGGAGAAAGCACCAGTCGAATATCTGGAGCAAGTTGTGTGTCCATAAACGATTTTCAAGTTACGGGCACGTCATACACCGGATATTTTGATCGTTATCAAAATAAGTGACCTGAACTAGACATTTGGTTATTAAACACCGTTCTGGTGATAACAGCAAATAAACACAAACAAGGATGCTTAGCATCCATATCATCTAATAACACAACTGCACACTAAAGATCTCCACTAGAAGTGACAGTCCATTTACAAACCGACTAACAAGTTCGGCAAACAGGTAAACACCTACTTGGCTAACTAATAGTTCAATATTTTTTAAGGTTTTGCGCATGTCGCCAGCTACCACAGATCATTTAACTGGTCACATTCTAAGCTGATTGCTCAATGTCATCCTTTCTTCATGAATAGAGAACATCAGACGCATTGACCAGGTCAATCATAGCAACTCCTATCGCCACCTACTGACTGTTTACAGTTTGCTTCTGTCTACCGTGGCTCATCAGTGGGCCTGTAAATCCAAGTGTATGTTCATAAATAAGGAGAAAATAACCCGCATCCTTAAATCATCGGTTCATTTGGGTTGGGTAAGTGAACGCTTTAGTTGTGCACTGAAAGCAAAAGCTCGAATGCGCAGCGCTAATTCGACCGTGCTTGTATTAATGTACTCCCTAACGGGCACAGTACGATAACTTAAAATATTGTGCCAGGATAACAGACAGCTTTTGTGAATCCACCTTCGAGGTTTCTTACAACCTTATTTATTTCACTGCTTAGTCGTTCACAGCTGGCGATTATCCCCTGATGCCTATATTCTCTTACAGGTGTGTACCCATGAGGTTGTATGGCATGACACGAAGCCAGCTTGCAGCACTCTTCTGCATTCTTGCCATAGTCGTTACCATAACGCTGCTAGTTGGACTAAAAGGTAAGTCATCAGTAAGTAACTGGCGACTTCTTAAGGCCCGGACGTTTTGAGGGGAAACGCAGTGCTAGCTTCTCAGTTACCAGAAAAACCCATGGACATGCGAAAGGGTCCTTTCGTTCTACAGGCGCCATCTTTATCCGTATTCAGTCAAGAGCTGTGGCTATCTGCATATATTAAACGTGACAAACCAAAAGGTTAGTTTGATCACCAAAGTATCGTTATCGAGTATGTGTAAGCTGCTAACCGAACAAAAGAATTGCTGTTTTCTATCAAACTGCTTTGGTTACCTGGTGAACAGTCAGTGTCACGTGTAGGTTGTCAGGCAACCGTTTTGGAAAATACATCTGCATTTAACTCCACTCAGGTACAAGCGGCGTAGCAATCTGTTACCGATATCAATTACTGACGTCACTCATAACATTTTATGCGGTCGTGTAAAAATCACAGCTATAGATTCCATTCAAAATCAAGCTTTAGCTCAAGCCACGAGTACCTCCATAGTTGGTCGCATGTATTTCACAAGGAAGTTTCACTCCCTTCAGTTTCGTGCCGTAAATGAACGGTGAGCTTAAGATGGCGTAAAAACAGCTTCCCTTGTACTCAGTATTCAGCGCCGCCTTCGTAGCAAGCAGAAGATGATTAGCTGCACTGAAGTGGTGCGTAAGTCAGTTCTAGACAATGAATTTGCATCGCAATAACCTCAGGTACATCCCCACTACACTGAGGTATTTCAGAAGTAAACCACGATTATCCATCCAAGCAGAAATCTTTTTCACCCGAAGCCATTGATGGCGAAATTGATGTGAGGGATAATCATGACCAGTGATGGCAACGGGGTTCCGGTCAATGAGAGCCACCCACTCTCTTCGTGCCTTCGTGGAGACACTCCAAGCGCTTCTCCGTGCCTTGCTTGGAAATTCTGCAGGGTATACGACGAACTGATCTCAGCAGTAAGCATTCCGTTGTCCGCCAAAAGTGCGGACAAGTCGAAGTCACCCTTATGTTTTGTTGAATTTCTTTTGGCCAACTTTTGTGGAGGCTTTTGAGACAATCCCGCAGATGGTAACTCACTTCACACTTTTCATTACTGCCTAAAGGCGTAGTTATTCTGAGCATCCCTTAGTCATTCATTGTCCGAAAGAGAAACACAAGTTTCATTACTAATTCCTCGCTTCCGTTTTTGCACTAAGCCCCAATGAGTTACGTTTTGGCAATCCACATTGTATACTATCCGTGTCCTCTTCAAATATCCAATGAAATGACATTGCAAGGAACTAACTCAGATTGTGCGATATCTTCTTCCACATTGCCGGAAACTCAAGCTCGGTTTGTGTAAATTTGAACTTCGTTTTTCCTGGCTAGTTCAACCAGTTTATGAGTAGTTTCAAAGTTATCAATGGGCTGGTTTACACTTCAAGCTTAAACAGCTCTTAGAACTTGTGGACTTTTGCCTATAAATAAAGGGGTTTATGGGGCTTTCCTCAAGGCACAGAGTAGCATAAGTTCCTGTAAGATGCGTGATGCTGTTTTAGATAGATGTGGTCCCATAGAAATCTGGTGGGAAGCCCTTCATATGGATTTTTTCCGTCTTCCTTGCAACATTCTCCGAAGAGCACTGCGATAGGATGTCAACCTGGGGTTCAAGAAACTACAGCAGCGAGCCTTATTTTGTTACCTCTGTGTTTTTGGTTGGTAGTAACTAAATAATTTGTTTGGTAAATGCTGTACTATAGCCATTTAACAAGTTATATGATCAGTTGGAACGTCAACAGCCAAGGCTATGCTCAATTTGCTTAGTCTTATTTTGCCTTTAGACTGTATCCGGTGCTGGTCGACCACCAGATACGAAAAATTCAGGAAAGCGGATGACCAAACGTTTTAGAATCCTTTATCATTTGTTGTTTGGTGCCAAATCCCATTCGGCGGTCGCATTCTAAATGAAGCCTCTAAAAAAGCTAGATATACCTGAAAATAACCTGATAAATTGGCATTTAACCAAGTCACAAGACGAGCAACCAATTTACACTGCCACTTCTCACTCAGCCCATTTTAGTGTCGTCAATAATATATTTCTGCGCAACTTTTGTCCCCCTTCAGGACTGCATTAATTAATTATATGGGGTAAAATTCACTGGACCTCCGTGAGAAAATGGGGATTTGGCTTAGGGCATCCTTTTCTTCTGTAATTGGACAACGGTCATGGAAAACTTCTGGTGAAGGTTGGGTGACTTGTGAACGACCAGCGGTGTTATCCAGCGGCATGTTTTTTATTTAGACTCCAATGTAGTCGATGTAAAATACGGCATCATAGACCGATCTGTCAAGCATAACGACAGATGCCTACACTATAATAAATTTTTTGCTCTTTTCTACTGAGTTTTCAAACAACTGCTCAAACAGGGCCGTATTTAAGGACTGTATAGTTTACTTCAAATAATATTCTGAATCGATAGTAGTAAAGTGCAGTGTAGGACTTTCACCGTATGCGACGAATCTTTTCAGTCTGTGGCACATTGTGCACCTTGAATACAGTCATTATATCTTACAAACGGATGCACTGTGAGTCTTCCTTCCAACAGTTTTATAAGATTCATATTGTTCGCAGAACGTCAAACTGGCTCAAACAATCGGTTTTTTTTGTACCATGCACCTGAAAAATGCATACTTAAGGTGCTGTTTATTCAGCTGCAGGTACTTCGCAGTGATACAAATTCAGTGGCTGACGCAGAGCACGAAGGAGTCCAGGATTTTACATCCCAAAATGATTGAAAACGAGGTCGCCTGTTTAATCAATGATGATTCCTAGCAAGATCTCATGCGAGGTTTAAATGGACGGGCTTTATTTCAGCCAATCAGATTGAGAAACATCTAAAAGATTCAGTGAAATTCAGTTCGGTGTAAACTAATCACTCAAACAACCACATCTGTGGCGACAATAACTGTATTGAAACCATACGTCGGGAGACAGGCTGATCCCCTTTTTAGTATAAGACCAGGTTTGATTTAACACGGCCTCCGAGTCAGTTGTCTCTTTGAAATTCACACCAGATTAACCGCCTTACCTTGTGTCATGCTTACAACTCCTTAGTTTAGTGTTAGCAACGAGATCATCTTCAGTCGTAGAGAATCGATCAATAGAGAGACAATATGATTCGATGTCCCTGGTTTTGGAACCTCTTTTGAGACACTTTCCCAGAAAGAGAATCCCGGTACATTATAACGAGTAAAGTCTGGGAAGCTTAGTATTTCAGGAGTACGAGACAGATTTTCGTTGCTATCCATGGAGAATTGCTCGTTAATAGAGGACAGTCACTGATGTCCACAGCAGCTGGATGTTTTAATGTGAAGAACTCTAAAATAAGAAAGATGGGTGTTTGTACTGAATGTGGCGGCTTTTTAGTAATGCATCTGTTGCCTTTTCTCAGCCATATTTTATGCGTGTTTGACTCTTCTTGCTCATTACAACCCTGCCACAAGCTGGTCTACTTTTCAAGGTGAACGTGACGGTGGAAATCCAAGTGCATCCGGAGACCTTTAATGCAAAGAAGTTGGAAAACACCAACGAACTTGTATTCTTGATGTCCCCCATCCACCGGTCAACGGTGCTAAACTGCATAGAAGCGGTTAGTCCCCGTTTTGCTTTAACTGGTGTAATAACATATATCACAACGTAATGATTGCTTTGGATTTAACAAAGGTCACAACTGCTCTTATCCCACACCTTTCTTTAAACGTTAATTTTGTTGATGGACATGATTGTTTTATTTTTACGTATTCTCGGTTGACCGTCAGTGAAGCAATCACTCCGAGGACTTCTTTGAATTTTCTTGGTTACTGTTATCTGTCCAAGGTAATTACTTAATACCAGCAGACCCTAAAAGGTATGACTCCGGTTCAGTGCAAACTGACTTATTAGTAAAACCACGTATCGTGGTTGAACGTAACCAGAGCAGAATGAGGTAAGTTCAGCAGAGAGCAGGTCACTGATGTCAGCTGTTAGCTAATGTTGTTAGCTAATGTAATTCTATTCAATTTATATTAGTATTTCTATAACTGGTGTAATTGGAACCTAGACCTAAGATTCAGCACTGCAAATAAAACCCAATGGGACAAGAATTTCGGACCCCATCGGTGATAAACGCTTCTTATACTACTGAAAAATTTTATTTCAGATATATCTGTAAGCCACCCGAAGTCCATTTAAATATAAACCGGCCACTCAGGAAAGCTACTTGACTTCGTTTTCACATTCACACGTTGATCCGGCAAACGAGTATCACCAATTTCTTTCTTGGACAACCACAGACAAACATTCGTTGTCTTTTTGCTGTGTTGAAGTAAACATCCGTTCATGGTTATACTGAAATATGACTGGATGGGTGAATGTGTCAGATGAATGCAGTAAAGTACTCAGTTTTCTGGAGCAGCAAATTCTGGAAATATTAGCAAGTCAATCTGGGTGTTCACCAATATGCTTATTCGATGGATATTGGAAGAACCTTTTTTATTTGGCTGTTGTTGTTGAGCGAAAATTCCTTCAGTAGTCAAGCCTGTGCCACTTATTCAAGTGTGAATTTTTACGGGTGATATCGGACGCACTTGCACATCAAAACCTTATTGATTGTTGACAAGCTGGCTTTGACCGGTCCTCAAAACTTCGCAATTAGCTTGCAAATCTTTCGTCACCATACAAGAAGACATCATCAGTAGGCAGTGCGCACCCACCTGCTCACTGATGTTGTCTCTTCATATGGTGACGAAACGTTTGCAAGCCAATTTCCAAGCTGAGNACTTATTCAAGTGTGAATTTTTACGGGTGATATCGGACGCACTTGCACATCAAAACCTTATTGATTGTTGACAAGCTGGCTTTGACCGGTCCTCAAAACTTCGCAATTAGCTTGCAAATCTTTCGTCACCATACAAGAAGACATCATCAGTAGGCAGTGCGCACCCACCTGCTCACTGATGTTGTCTCTTCATATGGTCAGGAAACGTTTGCAAGCCAATTTCCACTGAGTGAACAGACCAACAGTCACCTGATCAACAACCCATAAACTCACCCGAGCTACAAATATTTCAATACAATACCAACACCCAAACCCCAAAAATGGTAAAGGACATCGTTCCGACTTCACCTGTCATCTGCGCATTCATAACAGGTTTTTCCGCAATGCAGAATCCGTGTCCAAATTTGATGTGACGCATGTGCATTGCTGAACTATTTTCACACATATACCGCATTTTGTCAGCTAACAAAGGACGGAGTTTGACAATTAATTTTCATATTTCATTATTGGCCACTTCATAATCACCGAAGTGGTAGACAATGTAGCAAAGTAGTTTCAGCATTTTTTGAAGCACTGAGAAAATGTTCCCACAAGACTTTCACAAAAATCCCAAATCTCCTCACACTACCAACAATATATAAGTAGCTCAGTGGAAGAATAAACTTCAACCGATGAATGAAACTTCTATCTGAGAAGTCGTTGCTCGAGGAGCCAGTCAACACGTGTGACCGCGTGATGTGGAACCCGTGATTGAAGGATGAACGGCGCTATATGCTGTCTAAGTGCGAGTTAATCACACTGCTGATCAGCCACTCGTGGCCGAACGGTTAAGTGTTCAAAATACCAGCCAGGATGTCGCGGGTTCGAGACTCTTCGGAGTTTCGTGGGGTGCGCACTGCTGACGATTCCCGATAAGGATGAAACAGCTGTATAGTGCTTCTCGGCTTTTCAGCATAGATTGGTTTCACTTACAGGACGAAATCTCCAGAAAAATCTCAAATCTCCTCACACTACCAACAGTTTTGCTGTGTTGCGCAATAAAAGCAAACGGATTATTGTTGAAAATGGTGATAGTGCCACAATCAGCATTAACCGTGCAACTCATGATGTGTATCCAAGATCGATAGTTAGTGGCTTGACACTTCTCCAAGATTCCTCAAAGAAGTCCACTGAGTACTGACTCGTTGCATTCCGCTTCTGTCCCTCAACTAACCTGTTTGTTTGGCCCAAAATGAATAAACGAGCACCATATTTTCAGAGCCACCTGTTGTCTGTCGCTGCAAAGGAAAAATGTCCAATTACATCATTCCACTATAGGTCTCAAAACAGCTGCAAACTTCACTAATGTGTGAAAGGTCCAGTTTTTCTCGGCTTCCTCACTTTTAATATTCAGTTCATTTGCCTTCTCACTGACTTTTCCTGGTTCACACACGTTCTACCACTGCAAAAGCGAGCATCAACTAGAATTCTGTACTCAAAGTTTACAGAATGATGCTTGTCGTGAAATTTGAGAGCGGGCTGTGTGTGTAGCCTGTCACTCTCTGTAGATTCACTCACAATACGAAGGTGATATCATCAGCTAAAGTTACAAAATCTGATAAATTTCTCATTTTTCGGAAGCCAGAATGCATATCAGGGATACCGAGCCGTAAGAATCTGTAGCTTAATCTTTTTGCTTACTTTAACCCAATGCTCTGAAAGTGACAAGTTGAAACGTTAATTTAAAGGAGTCCGTTTTGGACTTTATACATTCCGATACATTCAGGAAAATAATTCACAGACTGTGTCTCAGGTGGATACATGTCTATGAAATTAATGTTCCGAATGCTCCGCATGCATCACGTTGCAGATCATTGTTCACCTGGTTCCAAGAAACATGAGCACCCCCCCCCCCCCGCAGTTTATTTGAGGTGCTCATGCGTTTACGCATCCGCATCTGACTGCACAGTAGTAGCCGCTGAGTTGTGATCGAAATATCAGTGCGGAAACTGTCTTTCACCACAACTTGAACCTTTCAGTCTCCACCTGCATTTGACAAGTGCGAACTGGGAAGCGGTCATAGCATGTATCAAAACAATCAAATGTTCATCGAATTTATTACTCACACCCAGGCCTGGCTCACCTCTTCCAAAGACCATAGCACCAGAACGCCACACCGGACCACTACCAGATTCAATGCTCACTCTGGTTCAAACCCGGCCTCTGCCTTTCGACTTCCCCTGTCTAGGCTTGGCAGTATCCCAGTCCTCATGCTTCCTTCTGGCGGCATGGCAGTTAGACCCTGGGAGGGTGCTACAGCTGAACGAGTTTTTCCATGGATCCACGACCGGGACAAGATGGAAAGCGCAGACTAACCAATTCAACGCCACGCTGCAGAACACTGTCCAATTTGTTTTTTTATAGCACGTGTCAACTGATGGGTTGTCTTTCAAACATTCTGTTCTTCTGTCATGTGATAATAAAAAGAGTAGTTGTTTTCATTTTTGAGTATACGTAATAGTATTCCGGATAAGTTATGTTTCTACTAGGTGAGGCCCTTATAATCAGCTGGGAGTGTAGGCAAAACCGACAGAAATGGCTTCTTCCTATCGGTCTGAACAGATTTGGAATGAGTTACAAAGGCACAGAAAAGTAGATTACGATAAAACAACGCACTGTGTCGAGTTCAAGCAGCATCAAATTGGACACTGCTCACTATTTTATCACATGGTGTCAACGATGGTAGTATCACAAGCATGTAAATATTACAAGCAGGGCTGTCGAAATCAATTCCAGTCAAAATGCGGTTTCCGGATGATCAGCTATTTCAAAGCTAGACGTTGGAACTGTCATTCCACTCGATTATCATCAACAGAGGATGTAAAGAAAACCTTGTTTGACGAGGCGATGTAACAATTTATCCCTCATCCTCTCAACCGTTAAATACTACTCTACGGCTTGGAGGTTTTGTTTCAGTATGACTGGCGCTCTAAGTCTAATCATTCGTTTGTAATACCTCTTTTGTGCCAAGCCACCCCAAGGAAGCACTAGAGCTGAGAGACTACCCATTCAGGCTCCTTGTGTCCAAATTCCGTTATCCTCAGTCTGATCTCCTGCGTGCTTCTAAATCGGAAGCCAGAGGCACTAATCTATTTTTGTTCAGATTCTCGTTAAGACTATTAAAAGGCGCGTTGTAGCCGTTTTAGTAACTGTTGACCTAAGCGCATCAACACGTCCTTAAGTGGTGCGTCTGAGAAGAGTAACCTTGCTGCAGTGCGTTGTAGGTCATTTACTCGTAACTCAGAATGGATTTCTAGTTACCAGAAAGTACGTAATTTTCGTCCTTAAGTGGTGCGTCTGAGAAGAGTTACCTTGCTGCAGTGCGTTGTAGGTCATTTACTCGTAACTCAGAATGGATTTCTAGTTACCAGAAAGTAACGTAATTTTATCTGGATGACAGTGCATTCACCTACCGAAGTAATAGTTTTCCTACTGCCGATCCTGGCGATAAGGATCGAGTTTATTCTATGTATCCCATATCGTTACTTCGTAGTCAGGCTAGAGAGACCTGATCAGACACTGTCTTGCCATGGACTGGCGGATAGGCACGTATGCACGCGTGTGGATTTCAGCAAATCTATCTTGCCGGGATAAATTAAAGCAAAGTGTCATCAGAATTTTAGAGGCAATACAGATCACGAACCAATGTTTGGCAAACTAACCTATTTTGTCAGTATCAAAACAGTCTGACTTTTCGCCAACACGTGGATTAACAGTAATTTCACCCGACGGTAGAAGCATTACCGGTAGTTGAATGTCACTCATAAAGAAATATGGCCAGCTACAAATAGACATGCCACATGCTTCGTCGATTTCTTATCCCACCGAAAGGGACGCGCTGCCTTGTAACGTTTTTTATCCCAACATTTCCCCGTCTACCTCCACAGCACTGTTATCAAATCTTGCCATGAAGTAAATGCGAACAACTAAGTGAAAGCGTAGAAAGATATTTTACAGCGATTCTCTGTGACGCGAGTTCTTTTGTGCAATATAATTGCTATGTATGCCGCGACCACTAACGAAAGAAATTAGAACTTTTCAAACTTTCGCCTAATGACAGTTTGAGATACGTGGCATGTTACTTTCGCTTGATAAAATGGTACTAAGGGGATGGGCCACCGATGAATACCGAAGTTTCAACTCCACCAGCCGTTCCTAGCAGGACATCACAGGCAGATCCTTACAGCACACCTTGACGCTTTGGGCGGTTCCTGTACAGTGGAACGGCGTAAAGTTATCTTTCATTCGAAGCATAGTGTAGGTAATGCGCATCCAGAGGTTTCTAGCAGGACATCACAGGCAGATCATTGTAGCACACCTTGACGCTTTGGGTGGTTCCTGTACGGTTTGCATTTCAGATGTTGCCAATAATTACGTTTACGAAATATTCTCATTTGTTCTGCCAGCTACTGCGGAGTGGTTCAATCAAAATAACTCGATGAATGTTTGTGCTGCCCTGTGTTCCACAAACAGTTTACTCAATTCTTCAAAACTCCTTTTTACCATCAGGTGTGTGATGAACTATTTCTGGTACATCTGATCCCGATCGATTACACACGTTATGTCTTCACGGTACAATTTGATGGTCTGGCTAACTCTGGTAGCCAATGGGAAGTCGACCATCAGCTGTTACATGTGATCGATGTTGAGTTCCACTTCCACTACTGCAACCCGCAATTCACCTATCTGGAGCTGATATCGCGGTTTGTCTGTTTCACATTCTCCGAAGTCAGTGCAGTGAGTTTCGAGAAAATTGTGAAAACACAATCTTTGACATGCTTATTCTCAAGAGACCCAGTTGTCTCTACTTCTTCCAGAAGACGAGGTGAAATCGATGGTCAACAGAGATAATGTTTTAGCATTATCGTTTTTCATGTGTGCAGGGCAAATTTTTTATGTTTGTTCGTCTCCTGAGTCAGAATGATCCAGCTTCCGAAGTGCCTAAGCATCTGCAGCCCACGAGAAGCCAGCAGCTGCCTGGGTTGCACAACTCACCGTGTTATTTTCCGGTAACCAATTGTTATTTAGGTATAATATGAAACCATCGATGTGTTTCTTTGAGAATTACTGAGACAGTCTCCTGATTAGATCGATACTGGCACAATCCACCCAAAAGTATATTCTCGCCTATCTGAATGAGGTCTTTGGAAACGATCACACATTTTCTGTCTGCTTCACCACCCGATTTCAAAGAGACTTTGGGGAAACTAGTTATCAAAATGCAGCCGGGTGTCGATTTACATTTCATCTGAATGCCTGCACCCTTCTGAGAGCTTTGTGGCAGTATTTTTTCACGGACACATCTTTATTTCAGTTATCTAATTCCACACATGTCTTATCTGAATGCAACAGCTCTTACAGTATAAAATCCAATACACTGCGAGATTTTTGTGACTCCACTTCCTAAGAGGATTTAGCACTAAAATTTTCGGATTAAAAAATTTACTTTCATTATGCTTAATTCTGTGACGCCCCGCTTCAAGGACTTCAGAATCTTTCGAAGAACGCCGCACCAACTTTATCACATGTGGCCAGCACAACCCTTTTCCTTTCGCACCGTCACTGCAGCACCCACTGATATTGAGAAACTTGGAGTTTCTGATGCGTTCAGAAATGTCTTTTCCCTTACGCAGTGCGAAGCGCTTACGCAACACCTGTGAGCTCTGGAAAATCCAACTAAAATTCACGAAAACGTTCAGAAATTATTTGCAATAGGTTTGGGCGATAAACCGAAACGGGAACTGATGTCGGGCAAACGCTGTTGACGAAATTTATCGCGGCAGTAGCCACACATCGTTGAGAAAAGATGCAAAAACGTTCTCAGACAAGCCATTTTTGAGTTTCCGAGCCGTCTTCTTCGGTTGTTGTTTCTTTCCTAAGTGATCCGTATTTGCTCTATACTATCAAAAAATAGTGTACGGCATCATATTTTATTTTCACTAATTGTACAGTCAAACTTATGTCACGAAATTAATCACTTGTACTGTTCGCGATAATGCCGCAGTAAAATGTTCTGCCACAGAAGATTGTCACGGGGACTTTTCGTGAACAGTGATCA